ACCCGCGTTCCAGCCGCAGACGCAGTTTCTGCAGGAGGGCGGGGTGCGGGCGACCAGGCCTCGGCTGCCCAGCCTCCCGGCTTTGTGGCTCGCTTTCCCTTTCGTGCTTGCTCCAAGTGCCTGTTTACTCGCGGCCACCTGGGTAGTTTCTTTCCGGGTTGGGCTGCGTGGGGAGCGCGCGCCTGCAGCTGCTGGGCAGGGGGCGCGGGTCGGGGCGCGGGCGGCGGGCTCGGGCTGAGTTGCGGGCTGGGAGGGGAGGGGGCGGCAGCCGAGCCGGCGGCGAGGAGGAGTCTCGGGGCCGCCGCGTCCGCTCGCCTCATCTCGTCCTCCGCCTCCTCCTGCTCTCCGCAGCCACTCCAGGCTGCTTCCTGAGCTGGCACTTCATTGCCCCCTCCTCCTGGCATTCGAAGCGCTTTGTTCAGTGCAGCGTTGCAGAGGGGTTTTCCCAGGCTCCGCCCTCCACATTCATTCATGTTTTTCTCCTTGCAACTGGCTCTACACTTTTTGATCGTGTCTTGTTTTTGCTTCGTGTAGTATTTATTTTTTGCCTGTAAAGGAACGGCTTATCACTCGTCTTAGTCACTACGATGCTTTGAAAATAGCCACTTCCCCCCGCAAGGATTTAAACGTGGAATGGACAGCTAGGGACAGTGGGTAGGCAGGGAACTGGGTAGCGGAAAGCCGTTACAGATTGGGAATTTGCATATTTTACATTTATGCTCCTGCTCGGATGGGATCACATGATTGGATTGCAAATCGGAGTGATTTTAAAACTTCTTAATACAGTGATCATTTAAAAGTCTTAGCAAGGATTGGAGCTGAGCACGCATACGATTTATTTGGCTCTAATGTCTTTAAATTCGCTGTCGAATCAGAACCTTCCTAAATCCTGTAGTGGATGCTTCTTTAGTGAAGGGAGTTGGGGAACCATATCTTTCTTAGCACTGTGCTTGGTGAAATACAGGTAGTATTGGTCATCATATATTATATTTTACTCCTACCATTAAAAAATTTTGAGTATTTTTGTGCTGTGTCGACATAGAGCTGTATGAGGAATGGAATGCAGAGGTTAGTTATGGTCTTTTTATTTCTTGGGTAAAATGAAACCATAAATTTCTAAAAGCTGATTAGGATATTAGGCACGTTCTTTCCCGTATAGGCTTTCTTAAGGAGAATTACTGTTTCAGCGGTTTTGTGCACAAATTAAGCTACATTGTTATACCAGCCTTTTGAATTTGAGGATATTCCTAGTTTTACAGTTGGGAAGTCTGATCTTCAGAGAGATTGAGTTACCAGAATAAGGCTACACAGTATGGGGTAAAATCTGGCCTTGAATTCAGTCTGCTTTCACCAAAGTATGTAGCCAGGCAGCCTTTTGGAAAAAACCAATAAAATCAACTCTCTGAGAGTAGGTGCTACTTTCTCTAAGGAAATAGGCCCAAGGAAAATGGAGTGTCAAGGAACTACATTCTTTTTAGTTACTGATCTTAGGCAAGTTACTTAACTTCCCTCAAAGCTTGTGGGTTTTTTTCTCTATAAAATGAAAACATGAAAGCTGCTTTCCTCACTTATTGCTAAGATTAAATTAGATAATATGTAGAAAGTACAGAGGCACATAGTAGGGGCTCAGTAAGCTCGTTTTTCTTGGATAGTAATAGATACAGTGACATTTTCACAATAGCAATTTCTGTTCCATTTTTGTGTCTTTAAGGATTAAATATTACTTCATACTTAGTGCCAGCATAATGGACGTTGCTTATCAGCTTTATTGCAGGAAGTTGAAACTAAAATTTTAGCTCTGGGATCCCTGAGAAAGAATCCTGTTGAAGAGAAGTGGCTCATGGAAGAAGAGAGGTGGTTTGGTTTAAAATAATTGCCATCTTGGCATATTGTGTTTCAGATCACTTTTTTAAAATGTGTAGGTCAGTGCAGCCTAGGTTATGCTGCAAACAGATAACTCCCAAACCACAGTGACTTAAAATAACAAAGGGATGTTTCTTGTTTATGCTCTGTGATCATGTTGAGTTAGTAGGAGGTCAGCTCAGAATTGCTGTCTGGAAGGTTCTGGTCCTGTGTCCACTCACAGGTCATTAGCTAGAACTGGCCACATGTTGCACCGTAACACAGGGAGGGAAGAAAGTGCAGCTCTACCCTGAGTCTAGAAGGGAGGACTGATGAATGGGGAGCAGCCACAGTCATGTTACCTGAACCTTAAATAAAGTGACCAGGATGTGGCCCCACTCTTTTGAATGGGCAAATAGACGGTGTACCTGGTAACCCTTTTGTAACCTAATGGTTACGAGCCTAATTAGTAAAGCCATTTTAAAACACAGAGTGAGTTTTTCACCCTGGTAGAGACACAGTGATTTCTTTTTGCTGTGTTCTTAATGAGAAGGCCCAGATATTGGCAGAATAACCTGTCTTAACCTGTATTTAATCAAAAGTTAGTAAGGTTTTGCCCAGCTTGGTTTTTTTTTTGTTGAGTTAGGTTAATGGTGTACTAAGCTGTAACTTTTAAAGTATGTGTTTCCTTTGAAGGTAGTAAAAAAATGCTTCTTGTTTTACTTATTTCCATTTTTAGCACATGGATTAATTGATGTACATTGAGTTTATGGAGCCATCTTTTTGTGACCTGCTGTTCCTACAGTTTCTAAGAAGAAAAAGGAGCTCCTAAATCTAAGAAGATGCCTCGAACGAAACAGATTCATCCCAGAAATCTAAGAGGTAGGGCTCTGCATTCATTGGAAGTAAAGCTTACAGCACAGCCCATAATAAAATATGTCTTTGGTGCCAGGAATGGGAGGTCATGAGATACTGACCCTGCTTCATGGCCAGCTCTACGAAGAGAGCTCATTTGTTTCTGCTTGCCCTGAACAATTCCTGTCTCTTAGGAGACACTTAATAAGCCCTAGCCATTTATGGGTGTTAAAAATTGAGATTAATTATTTCTTAACAGGACTCATTAAGATTGAGGAATCTGAAATGAAAGGTCGATGTTCTTTGACACCTGGGTGAATTTTGTGTGTAGGTTTACATTCCTGTTCTGTATGTCTTTTGAGAAGTATTTCTGTACTGCACTATGAGATACATTAGATAAAAAGTGAAGAGTTGCAGTGAAGTCATCTGCCTAGACCAGGTTTACAGAACATTTTTCATGAGGAAGCATCAGATCAAACATAGGCATACAGAGCTGGTGGGTAATTTGGTAAAAGAAGCTGTGCTTAGCATGCTTGAGGTCCTGGGTTCAATCTCCAGCACCAAACAAAAAGGGAACAAAATAAAACAAAATGTTTGTAACAACACATTTCGTACAAATTTCATACAAAGACTGAAAAAGAAATTTTTATTTCTTAAGTGTAAAGAGATACTTCAATTTTATAAAAGTAAGCATATCTTATCTTAAAAGATTTACATTATCCCAATGTATTCGTCATTTGGAAGGGCAATTATCTTTTATATTTAACTTTAGTAGGTAACATTATAGAAGTATGAAGCAAAGAGTGGTTAAAGTAAACAATTCCAAAATTACTGTATGGAATACATTTTGAATTATTGTATAGAATAAATTTTATTATTTTCTGAAGTGTAGTCATGTGTCACCTACTGATAGGGCCCCAGTCTGGGTAGTGTGCCTCTAGGTGAGCTCATGGTTGTGTGAAGATCATGGAGTGCACTGACGCAAGCCTCCATGCTCCGTCTACAACAGACTGAGGCCCAGCCTACTGCTCCTGGTTTGCAAAAATGTGCAGCTTCTTACTACACTGAATGCTGTAGGTAATTGGAACACAAAGGGAAGTATTTGCTTGTCTAAACATAGAAAAGTTAGAGTGAGAATATGATAGAAAAGATAAAAAATGGTGCACCTTTCTTACCATGAATGGAGCTTGCAGGACCGGAAGTTGCTCTGGGTGAGTCAGTCAATGAGTGGGAGTGACTGTGAAGGCCCAAGGCATTGCTGAGCACTGCTGCAGACTTCATAAACTCCAGATACACTACATTTACAAAAATGTTTCTTTCTTCAGTGGCAGAGTAACATTTACTTACTGTAACATTTTTACTGTATAAATTCAAAAAAAGTTTTGACGTGTAGCACTTAGTTTAAAACATGAACTCTACAGTTGTACAAAAACTTCTTTGCCTTGATATACTTGCTCTGTAAGCATTTCTTCATCATAATTTGTTTTCCTTTTTAAGCTTCATTTTTAAAAACTGAAAACATGCACATTGGCTTAGTCCTACACAGGGTTATTAATAAGTCCCTGACTTCCTCCTCCACATTTTGTCCCCCTGGAAGTGCCTGAGGGCCAGTAACGTGTGGAGCTGTCATTCCAAGTGCCTTTTCTGGAATCCCTCCTGAAGGACCTGTCCGAAGTTGTTCTATGGTTAATTTTTTTTTTAAATAAGTAGAAGTAAACTCTAATGAAGTGTAGTATAGCAAATGTAGAACCAAATAGCGTAGTATAGTTATTAATATATTACTTGCTAGTGTGCATAGTTGTATGTGTGTAACTTTTACATGACTGGCCACGCATTAGGTCTGTTTATATCATTGCAAACATGCGACTGATGCTTTGTTCTAGGGCAGTGGTGGTGAGCCTATGGCATGTGTCTCGTAGCCGGCTGTTTGTCCTCATTGAAAGCTCTGAAGGGGTCGCCATCACTCTTCTAGGGTGTTACTAGGTGATAAGAATTTCATAGTTCTGCTGTAATTGGGTGAGATCCCTGTGGGGTTATGTGATCTGCTGTTGGCTGAGATGTTGTAGTGTGTGATTGTATTTATTACCATAACTGGAAAATAAAACCTTAAGCACATACATGTAAGGTAAGAAGTGGCACAAAAAGCAAACAGAGTAATTGAAAATTAGTTCCTTGGAGAAACAAATTTGGCCAGGTACCATAAAGTAATATTTGGAAATGTGGTCAACTTCTTGGCATCCTTGAATCTGCAGACAGTGCCTGTTTTCTACCTAGAAACTTAACCAGAACTCTGTTGGCATAGGTAGATGTTTTGGGCCCAAGTTAAACTTGATTATAGTACCAGTGTTCAATGAGGCGGGGGTTTGGTTGGAGAATATTAAGTGTGGTATATAAAGTCTTGAGTTTTCAGGTCATATAGAAAATATTGAAAACTGAATATATGTTTGTCTGGGTGCCTCACTTAGGATCTGAACTTTCTAAAGCAGGGACTTTGTCTCATTTACTACAGGTAGGCAAGGTGTCATTGAGGTGGGCCTCTGGAGCACTGGATCCGGCTTTTAGGGTTTACCTGTCCAGAGAGTGTGCTGTGCTCCAGTTTGTACAGAGACAGCATACAGGCTAACAGCTACCCTGGCCAGCAAAAGGGAGCCCAGGTATTTGTTGAAGGAATGAATACACGCAGGCAAGGCTTTCAGTGATTTGCTTTCCCTGGGAACCCTCCACTTTGACCTACAGAAGACATCTCTCATACAACTAGATATGAGATGGGGGAGGAGATCGGAGAACCACACCAGCAGTCACAGCCCAGATCCTCACACTACGTCTGCTGTGGGCAGAGGGCACTCCCAGAACCCATCACCTCCTTTAGGCCTCTGGAAAATAGTCTGTGAAGGGTAGCTGTCTCGTACTTGGTCATTAAGTCAATATTTTAAACCTTACAGAAATCTTCAAATTATGTTTATTAATCTTCTAAAGCAGTTTTAACTCTTAAAATATCGTTTTTTGGTTTATTATTGGTTCTTCAGCTGGGGTGGGTGTGTCCCTGTGGATGTGCAGAGCCGCAAAATACCATTGTGTTTTTCTGGACTGGGAATTTTACTTGGGGAAGAACGTATATGTGCCAGTGTGAGTGTACATGCATGTGTACGTGTATAGGTATTAATGTATTAGGTAAGTGTGAGAAACACAGTACCGAGATTTATCATGGGTGAATCTACAGAATTTGGATAGATTTTAAAATTATGATCTCCTAAAGAGGAGTTTTCTTCTGTATTCTTAGAGATTCTTTAGGAGGAAAGTGTGAGAACTGATGCATTCAGGGTAGGAAGTAAATTTTGGGGCACTCCTGAGACTGACTTAGACCTGGTGGGTGATGTGTCTACTTTGTAGAACTCTGGTGGCATGAAATGCAGTCTCTTGCCCTTGGCTAAATGAAGAACCCAGACAGCACCTTCGTCTTTGCTGCCTGTGGCCCATTCACACAGCATGGGGGGTGGTCAAGTTCTAAGAACAGTCTATCGTTAGTGAAGTTGAAGAGGAATTTCGGAAAGGTAGGACAGAAACACATGATGTTCAGAAGAAAGTCTTGGTGTGCTGTCCTGGGTTGCCTGAAGCAGGGTCTCTAGCCAGGGTATGTCAGACATCCACTCCCAAACCCCCAGAAATGGTCTTGGTGAAGTAACTCAGTGTGGCACCATCTTGCTCAGCAGTCATTCATTGATGGCTCCTTTGGGGAGGGGTAGTCTCCTGGGTCTTCTGGGTCTTTGCTTGGACTCTTAGGTAAGATGGAATGGAGAAACTATTGACTTTCAGGGGTGTTCTGTGCCCATCCTGTCAGGATAAAGGGCTGTTTTTTTTGTTTGTTTTCTTTGAGTCAGGGTCTTCCTATGTAATTCAGGCCTACCTTGAACTCACTATGTAGCCAAGGGTGGCCTCGAACTCACAGCAGTCTTCCTGCTTCAGCCTCCTAAGTGCTAGGATTACAGGCATGCAGTACCACTCTCAGCTAATGGGCTGGTTTTTTATGTATGATGCCTGTCATTATTATGTGTAAGTCTCAAATCTTTGGGAAAAAGGAAGAGGTTTTACCCATTTTGTTGTATTTGGGCCTAGGATTCTAAAGCTTCATGTGCTTTAAAATTGGAAGTCAGTGTGGAAAATACTGTTAACCTTTCTCAAAGCATATTTTGAGAACTTGATGTAGTTGTTTTTCATTTTTATTGGTTAAGTGCACTTGGCTTTTAATACACCTCAAAAAATGAGAAGTTTTTCCCCAGTGTGATTAGGGATGATTAGATCATGGCTACTACTGACAGCATGGGGTCTGAGGATGCCCCCACATACAGGATGAGGTACAGTGTTCTGATTTGGCTAAGGAAACAGTACATAGTTTGGTCCCCTTTTATTTTTCTTTGTCCTGTGAGTAGTCATTTACCAATTCAGGAGCTCTTTGTGCAGAATGCAGCATTTGTGTGCTTTGCTTCTTTCTGGAAGGTACCTCTTGCCCCTCCCCATTTCCATTCTGTTTTCTTACTCTGTGTAGGAAATGTGTCTGTCAAAGATTCTTCTTCATATTTTTCCCCTTCTATCTTTTTATCTTTTCCCTTGATCAGAATCTCCTGCCCCTTTGTAAACATACGTGGCCCCTGTTGCTGTGTGTACATGTGTCTTATTGTGCTTATGATCCTGCATTCTGATTGCTCTTCACAGATCTCCCATTGTAGCTGGACTATAAATACGATAGAGACTATTTTGGTCATCTGTATGCAACAGAGGACTGTTTGGATGTGCTAGCTTTTTACCAAGTTGGAACGTTAAAATGATTTGTCGTCATGAAATTTGTTTATGTTTTTGAACCTCAAGTGGAAATGCATCTTTTGATATTTAGTGGTCTCTGATTAAGAAACTAGTGATGAAACAAAACTTTAATTGCCTGGGCAGAAAAACCAAGTGGGTGTTCTCAACTTAGATTGAAAATGAAGTTTTACCATAGAATTCCTGAATGTATCCCTTTGACAATTAATTGG